TGAAAGCCCAAAGAAGGAAGGGCTGGTTCTTCGCATTGCCTACGGCTGCTACTCCTATTGGCGCTTCATAACCAAGAATGAAAAAGTATCTTGACGTCTCTCAGTTGATGGACCAATCCACTTGTGCCACACCCCGGTTTTTTCTTCAGCGCTGCCCCCTTTGAAGCGTCGCTGAGTCTCCAGCCGAAGTTCAGGAGAAGGAAGCAGCCCGCAGGGAGGAGCACCTGGCCCTCCAGGCAGGACATCAAGAAGATCTGCGCGGCGCGGGGTCTACGGGGTCTACGGAGAACGACCTGGAAGGATCCTGCACTGATCCTGAAAAGAGCTCCCTGAAAGACTACTTGTAATAGCGGCGATGCCCTTGTTACTGCTACTCAGACCACATGAGGTCATGACTGTTCTCTTCTCTGAAGGGGTTTTCGCACACCATGTCCATATCATATACTCAGACTAAGAAAACAGGAGTAAGAGAGCAGGAGTGTATTTATGCAGCCAACCATCTGGAATGTCCTTCAAGTCTCTCTTTTCAAGAAACCGTCTCTGAAGTGGAACTCCACTCCTGCAATAAAAGCTTCTGCGTACCTACCCTGGTCCCGTGGCACACGTTCCTGCTGCTTGACCTTAGCATCCGTAGAAGTATCCAGGAAGCTGCGTGCTCAATCGCTTCCACTTCTGCCGTTTCCGCGGCGCACCTGGAGCATCAACACCAGCGCTGCGGCAAGTGCCCAGAGAGACCTGCATAGCTCCAAAAAAGGTCCGAAACAACTTCGTGCCATGCTGGGAACCCTTTTTGCCCGTTTTGGTTCCCCAAAGTGCTGTGGCTCAACATACCCACCACAAAGAACTCGTCACTTCAGGTACGGACGGCTTCTCCCCCTCCCAAAGAAGGGCTTGACCCGCAAATACAGCTCTTCTCCAAGTGGCTGGTGCTCTTCCTGGCAGCTTGCACCTGGCCTCGGAGGTCATTGACAGCTGGGGAGCCGGTAACAGACCTGCTTGGGGGACCTGGGGCATTGACCCGCCACATCTCGAAGCGGCACGTCTCGGCTCCACCGAGAACCGGGTCGCCCGGGCTTTACAGCTTCCATCTGACACCTTGGTGGGAGACAAGCTCGAGACCCAAGAAGGAAGACACAGGGTGAAGCTTCCTTTTTGCTTCAGGAAGGTGAAGGAATGATCTTCGAATGTGCAGCCGGGATGTGGCAGTCTCTTTCACATTCACGGCTTCAGGTCAGAAAAAAAAAAGAAGAGCTGTCCATGTCGGAGGGCTGTCTTCCGATCGTTCTTTCGCCGGAACCGGCCAAGCGATCCGATCGCCGCCACAGACCTACGGGGTCTCGGGTCTCAGTCCTCCAGGACTTCGCACCCAGCCGCCAGCAGCGGCAGCATGAGCCAGATCACCTGGAGGCGAACCACGTGTCGAAGAGGTCGGTCTACATGTGAGGCGACAGCAAGAGAGATAAGAGAGGGGAATGTCTGCGACTGCCAAGGGTCCCAAATAGGCAGGAAGTCGAAATGATTCAACACCCTTTTTGTGCAATGGAAAGAAAGAACCTGTCCTTTCTGTCGGCTTAAGATCTCAGAACGCGCAAGTCCGTACCCTTCACCCATGAGTTCATGTGCTGAACACCCTCTCAGAAGGCCCCGAGGCCTCATATGAAGCAAACAGATTGGAATCCTTTCGATCTGAAGCAAAGCAAACCCCGGTTGCAGCTCGCCAAACGAGCCCGGTTGCATAGCCACACCCTTAAAGAAACACCAGAGCCATTGCCGCCGTCCTGGCCTTCCACGGGTGGTAGCTGAGTGAAATACTAAGAAGGGACATGAGCAGCTCCTGACGCTACGTGCAGTGTGGCCCAGGCAAGGGTGCCACCGGTGGGTGTGCCACTGACAACAAAAGAGACTTTGGGGTCATTTGGGGTGGAAGAGGTTCCTTCCAAAAGGCCAGGAAGAAGATGTGGAACCTCTAGATCTTCTCCACTGTGGGGCAGTTGAAGTACATAATGTGTAACCAAAAGGGACCCACCAGACTTGTTGGAAAATTCTGGTGCATCGAAAAGCTTCTCTTTTCTGTCATCAAGAAAATCAACATCCAATAGAAGACTTCCATGAACCTTGAACTGAGGAGCCGCTGGCCCCAGAGAAGCTGTTCAGTGAAAAAGAAAGCACAAACACAAGTAACGAAATCAAATGAATCAAGTCAAAGGCTCTGTCTTAGGGTCTTAAGGTGCTTGTCAACAAAATGCAAATCTGCAGCTTTTGGAGGGTTCAATAGATTGTGGTCAACAGCACACAATGCCTTTTCATCCATATGTGTTTTATCGTATCACGTCGCACGGGTTTTGCGGCAGCCGTCACCCTCACGGTGATCACAGCCGTCACGGTTGCGCGTCTTCGAAACGATTTGACAGGGTTTCATTGTCGTACTTTTGGCTGAAGGAAACTGAGTAGTCCGGCGGCTTTGATGATTACCTAGCGGCCTAGCGAAGGCACACTGGATGGTGTGAGAGAAGTGTATTTGTCCGATTCTTCAGAGGTCTTCGGTGGGTGTCCCTGTTTCAAGCACAGTTGAAAAGACATGTCGAATAGGTCACGGGTGCGGTTTTGTTTCAGGACCTTTTTGCGTTGTGTTCCGGGAATATTTTTGTGGTCGTGGTTTCTCTATCGTCGTTCCCGCGGTGGAAGTGGAAGGCTAGGCTTGGAAAGCAACTGACAAAAGGCGACGGCAACAAAAGCAATGAAAACAGAGAAACAATACGCCACAAGAGGACAAGAAGCAGGAAAGTAAGGAAAAGCAGGAGAAGAGGCAGGAAGAGCTAGAAAAGCAAGAAACGCAACAAAAAGCAGATCCAACAAAAATGCCCTGAACGCAACACACAAAAAACAGAAACGTAAAAAATAGATAAAAATAGCCCTTCATAGGTCACTATGTCTGCCACTCGCCCAGAGCGTAACTTACACCCAAAAAGCATTGCCTTCTCTCTTCATGGCCCCAGCCTTCCAGTGGCAGCTTCTTCCTGGGTTCTTTGAATTTGAAACCATTCCACCACGCCTTCACCACTTCCACCACCATTTCAGCAGCCCTCCCCTTCGGCCCCTTCAGCCCCTGCGGCTCCATCCCCAGGACGCTCACGACGGCTGCAGCGTCGAGCGCGTCAAGCGTGGTGACATCGTAGGGGGGGGTGGCACGTCTGTGGGGCCACCTGCCATGGCCAAAGAGTCGCGCGGCTGCAAAAAAGCAGGCACGAAAGCCATGATCTGCTCGGGGTGCGTCCGGTGCGCGGCGTTGTCTTCTATCTTCTTTCTGAAGGGGATGATATGAAAGACCACACGTGACTTCTGGCACCAGACAGCACATGTTGCAGGTTGGGAAGGAACTTGATGGAAGAACCCGCCCACCAGCTCACCACTCCTCTGGTTTTTCACCCATCTCAAGCACAACATGTCTAACAGCTGTGCACCAATCTAGTCGTAGTGATATCCCATGTCAACCAACAGCCGACGATGATCCTGGTTGGAGACCTTTACTCAGCAGTGCTGTTCTCTTTTTTTGCAGTGGTCAAGATGTCCTTCAATTGGGGATCAATATTAACCACCTCTTGGGGTCTGTGCCATCTACCCTCAATCCACGATACGGGCCATCACGGGGAGAACGACCCTGGCTATGCCCCACCTCCAAGATCACGTCCCTCAAATCTTCAGCCTTGGTCCACTGGGGAGATGCCAGGGGTGCAACGAAATAGGTGGATTCGCAAGTCCGCACCTGTGGAAGACTTCTCAACACCCTAAAGGTTTAGAGACCTCAAACCTCCACGAAGAACCCGAGTCCGAATGCGGCCTCGTGAGGTCCCCAGCAGGTCCCCTGAGGTCCCCAGCAGGTGAACCTGGCGTCTTAGCTGGGGGCGTCTTAGCTGGGGCGGTCTCTACGAAGCTGGAATCGAGACTGGTGTGGTGTCTATGAAGCCGTTGGCCCAGTCCCACCCAGTCCACCCAGCTGTCGTCACTTCCTCAGTCCACTCAGCTGGTGCCATGGACGGAGTCTTCATGTCCCACGTGCCTGTGGACTCCTCCTCGATGAGTTCGGACCTCGATGAGTTCGAAACCCCACGAGTTGGGAGGACGGGTCCAGCTCGCGTCCAAACAGCCAGTTTAAGATGGAGGCCACCTGGGGAACCTCATGCATGCTCGTCTCAACTTGAGAAACGGGTCCTTTTTGTTCCAGCTAGAGGGGACTTGACCCACAAAGTACCAATTTTTGCGACTACAATCCTATTACGACAGACTGCATCAACCATTCACCATCCCAACTTCTCAAAAGCCCGACAAATCACCTGAGAATCCTCAGTGTCTGGCATACCCGCCATGATCACATCCACCATGGCAGGCGCTTTAGTAAAGGCTCTCTACGATGAATCGCGAGCCGCGACAAGTGATCTGCACGTGAAGTTCGATGGGATCTTCACTGGCTGGACGTTAGGTGTCCAACCATCTATTGCAAATGATTTCTGGCATTTGATCAACAACAGGGTGGCATCCTGCTTGTGAGGGGCTACAAATCTGAGTTCTACCATAATTGATTTCCTGTGAACCCTCACGCACTCCAGCTGGCCATGGAGCAAGTCAAGGAGCGTCAGGCGCGCATGGTCTTGGTCTCAAGTGCTGAATCTGCAACCGGACAGGCTACAACCAGCCACCGTGTGTCATCTTAAGACAGCTCTGAAGACATGGGAGTGACGTGCTAAGTTGAAGCTTAGTGGGTCTCCGATGGTGTCAGCCTACATATCAGCTTGCCAGGGTTAAACATTGTTACGGACCACACATGGGTGATCAAGTGCTACGTCCACATCCTTGTCGTCTTCCGACCAAGATGATGGTATGTCTAAACAACTCAGACACTTTCCTTCTGAGGAAACAAATTACGCATCAAGCTCGGTGGCACTTGGTGGATCCCGAAATGGTTCCTCCAACTTCACTCTCAACTCATCGCAAGCGCCCCCAACCTGGTGCAGCCCAGAATCAACACCATGACCACCAGCAACCACCAGGCCGTACTGCCAGCCTGGTCCCCACTACGCCCACAGCTGAGAGCGCAGGTTCGGCTCTGAACAGAAAAATCAGCCCAATGCGAATCAAGCTGGCTGTGGGGGTGTTGGATTGACTCTCAAACCAAATGCAGCCACATGGGGGTGCAGGCCACATGAGTTAGGACTATGGTAAATCCTAACTTTCTGACAATGACACATTCTAACTGTCTAACTCATCATTACCTAGTAACCTAGTATGACTCCATTTGGGAGAAGGTGAGTTGGGACCTGTGTGAGGTCACCATATAATTAGATCTTTGAGCATACAACATGGTTTGCTACAGAAGAGATGCTTCTCAACAAGTGAGGAGTTCAAGAACGAGTCACACTGCTGCACACGCATGACCAGCGCCTTCCTTCCACTTCATGACTCGGTGATTCTGGTAGTCCGCGATGTAGATGGTGGAATCCTCTCCCAACCAAGACATATGCCCAAACCAAGACAGGTACCTCACTTCATCCAAAGTCCTGGTTTACGTTTTTGCCATAGTTCTTGACACCCAAGAGCTCGAAATAGGAGGTGAAGACATGAAAAACATGATGTGGCTGTGGGTGCTCCTCAGTGACATGCAGGCCAACTGGATGTTGGAGTTGATCACAGCCTTAGGTCATTGTCACGGTGGTCCTCTCTTGTACCTTCCCCCTTTCTGGGGCCGCATGGATTGAGCCAGGTGAAAACCACCATCTTGAAAACCCTAAATCCTGTAGTGCTTAATGCAAGCAAATGATCATCTTCGCCACCTTGGAGAAGAATGATACCACACAACAACACCAAAAAAATCCACCTCAGACTCCCAGACTCCCAGACTCCTCTCTCTTCTTTCCGATCTTTGTTTTTTGGAGTTCCAGCACCCGTCAGTCACTCTCCTCAAGATGAGCGTCCTCTCGACCAGTCGAGCACCCTCCGAGCACCCCGGACGCGATCCCTTCCCATGGCCGCCCGCCACGGTCACCCCGCTCGTGGCGCCCGGGAGCCACCTGAGGGGCGAGGGCCGTAGCGGCCGTGGGCGCTTTGGGGCATCCGGAGAATCGAACGCCAAAAGAATGGCAAGGGGGATGAGCGCCTGAACATGGGACGATGAGCACAGGATGTGTTTTTGAACTTTCAAAGGCTTTTCCTTGGAAAGAGATGGAACAAGTGTGCAGCATTGGTCGAACATTGATGGAACTTGGTCGCAGAGAACTGGTGCCTGATTTTCTGACGGATCGGTTTACATATCAGAGTCGCTGCCCATGACATCCTACGACATTCGATGAAATCGACGCAGACGTAGCCGCTCGTCTCCGCTGGCTCTTCCTCGAAGATTCGATCAGCACCGCTGCACATCGATCAGCACGGCTGTCAGACACTCTGAGGATTCAGACTTCTGGATGCGGTTGTTCCCGCTGTCCGACACATACAAAACACCTGCGGGACGAGCGCGGGAAAGCTCCGCTGCTGGAGAAGACCCGCCCATCTTTAAAAAGTCCGTGAACAGGGGGACAACACCAAAGCCATCCGATTCAAAGCTCACGCACCAACATCACCAACATCAACCGTTCATTGCTCCCTCGGCTTTACAGAAACAGTGGATCCTTGCCAGGTTTGATCGATGATCAATGATGGCCAGTGCCATCGACTCCAAGACCCCCTTTCCCAGAAAAGAGGCATCAACCCAAGAGGAAAGGAAAAAGGGATTTGGTCAGTTGCAATAGCGAAACAACCACCCAAGTATTTGTCAGGATCCCTGGTCATCTCAGAGTCGTCTCCAGTCATGAATCGATGTGATGATTCTTCTGCTATGGATAAACGACTTCACGAAGATCTCATTGGGTGTTCTCTCTCTCTCTCTCTCTCTATCTCTCTCACTTCAGTTTTGGACCACCCAGAGCTGCCAGGTCACGAGATTGAACGGTTCAAAATCAAACAGCTATTATATAAATGGACTGGCTCTGTAGCCATCTGCCCTGCACCCTGGTCGCCCAAACACCCCAGGCCATCTTTGGTGACGAAGATGTCCTCGGCATCCTCACCAGCACCAGCAGTTGGAACCACGCGGAAGCAAGGCAATCCACAAACATGGTGAGGCAAAGACCGCGCATGTAACGTGTCAAAGTGAAGCCAAGCAATGCAAAACCGTTGATCCATCACCCTCCCTCAGTCGGTTCGTCAGGCTTCCCCTTCTTCACTCCAAACACACGCACGGGCCCGGGTGGGCGCCTCCAGTTGCGAGGCGCCATCGCCGGACTCCGGCCCACCAGCCACCGGCACCGTCATGCCCTGGTAGTACCTCCATCGACCCGCGGAGAGACCGGTGGCTTTGGGAGACGGTTGGCCTGTTTCCTTCGTCTCCAGTGGAGTCCAGCGTTCCGGAAGGATGTGACTCGATGGGGAAGATTGGGGTGTCCATCCCGCCGTTGTGAAGCCTCAAAACCAACCCTTGACAAGGAACCCCGCGTCTACATAGGCGCAAGCAACTTGCGCTTTCTTGGATCGCCGTGCCTCTGCACGCGTGAGCCGCCCTCATCGATGAAGTAGATGGAGCCATCAGTGCCTGCGTTTCGGCGGTCATCTTATTTGGCAACCGGGCCACCTCAGTAGGTCACCGACAGTAAGCTAGTCAACCAAGCCAAAGCGGCACAGTCAAACATGAGCTTTACTCTTTGGACTTGTTGCGTGCGGCTGCATCTGTTCGCAAGCGCCGGCAAGCGGTGGCAAGCAGCAAAAAAGAAGTGCAAGGTAAGAGCCCAATGCAAGCCCATTCTTAGATTGGATTACCATCTTGGATTGGATCAGGTAAACCCCGGAAAACGATGAATCACATCACGTCTCCCCACCCGGGCCTATGTACAATGCGCGGGTTCCCACGTCCAACGAAAGGACCCCGTCGCCCACAACCTCCCCCACACCGTCGCGGATCCTGCCAACCAGTGGACCGGGTGAGGAAGCTACACATGGGGGACATCGTGCCACCCAAATGACAGCTCGTAAGAATGCAACCCACGAAAATGAAGGATGCTTCTCTTCAACGTGGTCCCCCCAAAACGTGGTCCTCTTATGTCCTCTTAGACTGATGCACGTGAATTTAGAGACTCTCGACTCTCTACGCTCCAGGCGTGGTGAAAGCCACCTGGAGGCTGCTCAGGCACAGTTGTCTCATATTGGCTGCTAATAGGCAATCGTTCCACAAGTTCCACCGCAGCCCATCGCGGCGTTTCTCGCAGCGTCACTCGCGGTCGTCTCCTCACGATGCGTCCGTGCTGTCCATCCAAGACCTAGGAGGCTCATTTGGTCAACGAGGCCAGTGGATCGTTGAGGGAAAGCATGAACAGACTACAGTAGGTGAACAGACTACGTGTTAACGAGGTTAATCACCAGCAAAATGCTCTCAATTTCAGTTGCTTCTGGGTGTTCGTTTTGAGACTTGGTTCCTCCAAAACGACATGAATTCAGTCCCGTGATCCACCAAAACGGAGTCCGTTTCAGCCGTTCCATTGGCGCCCTGCAAACAAATCGCCATTGGCGTCAATGGCAATGTCAATGATGTCCTTAGGACGCCCAATCCGTGCGGACTCGCGCAACGACTCGACCAAGAGATTTCAATCAGAAGAGTTGGTCAAAGCATCAAACCTGGTAGTTCCAAACTCTTCCTGCACAACAGATCTTGTGCGGTGGGATCGAACATCCGGTTTCAGGTGTCATTCGCGCCTAGGCGGGCAGGTTAGGCGCCTAGCCTGGCGCCTCGCGCCAAACAGCGGGTCATTGGCCGAAAACCTGACTGAACCGGATGTGGGACCTTCATGCACCCTCGTTAAGGACACACCTGTTTTGTTGTATATTGCGATTTTACTCTCTGAAATCGAAGATTCTTCCTGGACTACCATCCCGACCGCACCATTTGGCTAAGGCCCAACACAACGACGCGCGCGCCCCAAAACGCACGCACGCCCCGCCGCAGCGTCTCTCGCCCCAAAACGCACTCCCCCCGGAACGAAGTCTCCGCCCGAGCGGCGGAAAAGTCATTCACACCGTTCAGCCTCAGCTCCCGCGTGGCTCCCGCGGCGTGGGGTCGTCGGGATCCGGGTCGGGATCCATGGATCCATATTGCGGGTGGGAGTGGTCGAGTCCGCTTGCTCGGTGCCCGGAGCTGGTGTCAAAGCACGTCCACTTTCACTCACCAGGGTACCATCAAAATAGAAGTGAGTGAGCTGAAAGCCAGCAGTTCCAGCCGGCTTGAACGGGAGGCGATGGGAACTCTGTTGTAACGTCATGGGATGACATCGATGTAGCTTGTAACGTCTGCCGCCAGTCACCTCGTCTGATCGAAGACCTCGTCAGTTGCCCAAAACTCTCTCCGAGTCCTTTACAGATCTTCATCAAGCGGCAAAAGGCTAAAGGCCCTTTTGGGCATGCGTTCCCCTGTGAGAAAAAGGTTCAAGGATTTTCGGCTTGATGGCAGGATCTCTATCCTGCCCTCTGTGAATCAACAGGGCTCCGGGTTGAACGGAATCTGCGAGCCTTGCTGTTGAAGAGTCAAGGACCGTCAAGGAGCTGGTTCCTTAACAATTGACCATTAAGTTGAGCCTGTTTAGCCCACAAGAGAATTGTTTTTGCTTTGTAGGATCAACCACTTTTTGCCGGCCGGCGTTATTAAAGCTAATACAGGTGAGGGGGTCTATGTACCAAACTGCCAACTCCCAGGATGCTTATTGATTCCAATCCTCTCCCAGTTCAAACGTCCCTGTGCATCCGGACGTGCTGCCAGTGCCCACCACCACACGTCCAGATAAGGCTCCCAAGGGCCACTGGAGCAGCGAAAACCGGTCACCAACACAACAATGCAAGAAGAAAAATTGATTCAAGTCCAACATCGCTGTTGCATTTGCTTGGGGTCCCTTCTTTTCACTGATAGGCTTGTCGTTAGGCTGTTTGGTTGCAACCTCAATTGCCTGCTTCACTGTTGTTCTCTGTTCATGCGAGAAAGGAAGAAACCTCTACCAACAGGAATGAAGTTGAAGTAGATCACCAAAAACACCAAAGTGAAGGCGAGAAAGAAAGAGAGAGAGAGAGAGACTCACTTTTGGATCCTTTTGATAGATGCATAACAGTCAAAAAAACCCTGGAATCCTTTACATCGCTCAGTCTATTCTGTTTGTGCTCCTTTTGCACTGTAGTGAAGAAGCATTTAGAGAAGAAGCATCCCCCCCAATTGTCAGTCTCTCCTGGTTTTGTGGGATTCCTGCCCCCAGTTGCAGCAAATTCCTGCGACCACCGACTGCCACCACCATGCAACAGCTCAAGAACATCTTCCTTGTGAAGCCCAGGCAAACACTACCGTTCAAACCTGCCAGAATGGGTTGCTATTAGCTTAGAACTCCGACGAAAATGTACAGTAGCTGCAGTCCATCGCGGCAGTCACTCTGCCTGAAGCACGCAGCAAGGCTCCCGCCCTTAGCAGCTGCGGAAGATAGTTGCATCCCCCGCGGTCCAAACACTACAATCATCTCCCAGGGGATTACGCTCCTTTTTTATCCTTTTTTACTGATTCAAATGCGTAAATCTCATGGAAAGGATCAGGGTTGAACTATGGCAACAATACAAAACGAAAAGGCCAACTGAGGCAAAATCTTTAATCGTCAATCGTCTCTGTGCTACAGGCACAGAGAGGATTAATCAAAAGGTAGATGGTTCGACCAACATCTTACTGATTAGGCCTTCCCTAAACTGCTTTCAGCCAGAGTTTCCTCAAAGGGTTGGTCTTAACCATTCAGCGAATCCTGGAAACCCCAAACACGGTTGAAGTTCTCATCCTTCCTACTGAAGGAATACCAACGCGTTTGGTGAAAACTTCAACACCGGTTTCAAGTTCTTACAGGACCCACTCGGGATGCGGGCCATTAGGTTCATTCAATACCAACAACACAAACAAACAGAGTGTCTATCTATGAATCTTTAGGGTGAGGCGACCAGGGCCTCTCGTGAGGTTGCAGAAAGGCCGTAAAGTTCAGTGGTGGTTCCCCCACCTGCCACTGCCTGGGAGGCCCTGGCCATCGATGATGTAGAGCGCCTGGTCGTGGATGTGCACCGCCCAGGGCTCCAGTTCGCCCTCAGGTCGGCGCTGCTTCTTCACCGTAGGAAGCTGCGGGAAAGGGAAAAGAAGTTCACCAAAAAATCGTTTAAGGGTAAGAGATGAGCACCTGGAAAGAAGGAGTTTACACCGGTGGTTACGAGTCATCATGAATATCGTGTTCCATAAGCCAAAATGCAAGCGCGTTTTCTCTCGGAAATCTTCAAACTCAAGAAGCTCCTTGCACAAGCACCCACTGAGACTTGAACTAATTGGTGCGAATAGTAACAAACATAATAATCACAATAGTAATATTATTTATATATGTTTTAATACCTATTTTATATCATCCAATTGAAAGGGCTCTCAACCCCGACTGGTTGCCACGTTTTAGCCACCACTCGCCTCGCCGTACTGCCCGCTGCGCTCGGCGATGACCATCCCGCCCCGCAGGGAGCAGCCGAAATCCGCCCACCTGGGGAGAAGCCATGGCGGACAGCTGAGTTGGAGGACCACCAGGATCCCTCTCATTGAAGCTTACGCAGCTACGACCGTCGACCCAAGCAGCGAAAGCCCAACAATAATCCAATGCAGGTGACACTCCATACCAGGCAGCATGCTAGCACACTTCCCTTCACTGGCTCATCTGCCCACACCTGATCCCCTCACCCAGGCCCTTGCCAATAGGGGTAAGAGTTCCGCAACTTCACGGCTTTCATGTAGGATGCCTGCAGGAAAATGGAGGATCACCCCTCGAAAACTCTGCCTCGGCAAGAACACCGCATATATATATATATATAGAGCTGTTCCATACATGATTTTTAGGCGCAAAGCCCTCAAAAAAATATTTGGCAGGGCTACAGTAATTGATTTAAATACAACAGAAGCAGACTCTTGTTTGAGCACTAGAATGCTTGGATCATGCACACATGCCACAAGGCCCCTGTCTGAAGCACCGTTTTCGTCAGCCGCGAATAGGTGCAGGTAGCAGACCTGCCATACCTGGCATACCTGCCATACCTGGCATACCTGCCATACCTGGCATACCTGGCATACCTGGCATACCTGGCATACCTGGCATACATGGCATACCTGGCATACCTGGCATACCTGGCATACGTGGTGGCAGACCTTGCCTCACTGGAATCACTGGAACAAATTCAGCTTCGTCCTCCATCTGAGCCGGGACCCTCTGAGCCGGGCGCACCCTCAGAGCACAGGCAACTTGCAGGAGAATATCTGGGTCAGCCTTGCGAATCTCTGCCAGGTCCTGAGCCATGGCGGCAGCTTTTGGGTGAAACCACATGTTTCAATTCGCGGAGACCACTGAGAATGCAGCCAAATGTCCAATGATTACAACACCCACACTTGAAACACCTTCCTGCTTCCTCAGCAAATTTGCAGTGCTCTACGCATCTCGTCTCCATCTGGCTTAACACAGCTGAATCAGCTGAGCTGAACATTACTGAACACTTTGGAGGGTATAGTCCCACTTTGTGCTTCCCAGCCTTGTCAGTGCAATTCGTGGCCAAGCCCTCCAAACAACGCTTCGACTGGGCTTTCAGGTTATGCTTGTGTGCTTGGATGAGGCGTCGCGCTGTCACAGGCAGCTCAGCTAATTTCTTCTCACAAGCCTTTGTGATGAACTTCACGCCATAGTAGTCCGAGATTGCAAGTAGAGAGTCGGCGTTTTTGTCTGTGATAAGCTCGGGTGTCCACACACCAGGCTTCAAGAGCTTGTAGAACTCATCAAACTCCTCTTTTGTGGCAATCTCTACCTGCGGCATGACAAGTCATCTGTAACAAGCTACAGTAACCCCTTGAAAAAGGGCAAGTCTCTCAGCAAGTTCAGTAAAGGCCACATGCAATGAATGATAACTTTTGGGCATCTCCACCTGAACTCTCATGGTTTGCTCCTCGTCCATGCCAGATGTAAACATTGCATCAAACACAGGGGATGCCATCCGGAGCAATGCCGCGCAGGCAGAAGATGTCTTGCCATCATTGAAGACAAGATTGACGTCATCCAATGACGACAGTTTGCGCTTCTTCTCGGACATGGCAAGTCTGGTTGGCTAGGAATAACTACAATGCTTGTCTGTAGGACATTAAGAAAGTGGTGTTCAAGACATTGTACAAGATCTGCTCTGCGTCCTGAAAACATACATCTTTGACCGTTCTTCAGTTTGGCAAGTGCCAAATTTCACCCCTTGACGGATCAACTGAGCCCAGCCTACAGGTTTTGGAGATGACCATGGCTCCATGGCTTTTTCTCGCTAGATAGACTACATGGATTTGAGGCCATCTAGTGATGTCTGCTTGATGGCCTGCTTGCAAATGAGAATAGCGACTCTCAAGGAGAAGGCAGTCTTGACTCCATTCTCGCACACTTTCTATATTTTGATATGTGCAATTGTGTGTATCTGTCGACCATCCAAAAACAAGTATTGTTGTACATAACAAGCTATCAATGACTTTCTGACAAAGGTAGAACCCACCACATGAATCCACCACACGTCCGCCGCCACTGAATTACCTTCCTTTTTGTTGCGGCATATCGTCCTACTTCATGTCTGCACTTAATAAAGGAAGCGGCCTTGCACTTGCGCCAGTCGGAAGCTTGCCACGCGCGCGCGCAGCGCTCGTGCCAGCTTGAGAAGGAGGGCTGGGTCGGCCTCGTAGATCTTGCCTAAGTCCTGACACGTGGCTGTGGCTGGCTGTCTTCAAAAAAAAGAAAAAAGATTGCAAACTCAAACAAAATGTTGGATTGCGGGGAGCCACATTTCTAAACCTAAATGAAAGTTTCACGTTCCTTGCGGTGGCTTCCTCCAGCAAGCATATCACAACCAGGAAATGAATGCCATCCACTGGGCAACTGTTGAAACAAGAGTCATCCTTTCTACGTGACAACTTCCCAGAAGCCTGCCTGGTCCGTGCACTTTGCGGCCAAGCCCTCCAAACAACGCTTCGATTGGGCTTTCAGGTTATGCTTGTGTGCTTGGACAAGGCGTCGCGCTGTCACAGGCAGCTCAGCTAATTTCTTCTCACAAGCCTTTGTGATGAACTTCACGCCATAGTAGTCCGAGATTGCAAGGAGAGAGTCGGCGTTTTTGTCTGTGATAAGCTCGGGTGTCCACACACCAGGCTTCAAGAGCTTGTAGAACTCATCAAACTCCTCTTTTGTGGCAATCTCTACCTGCGGCATGACAAGTCATCTGTAACAAGCTACAGTAACCCCTTGAAAAAGGGCAAGTCTCTCAGCAAGTTCAGTAAAGGCCACATGCAATGAATGATAACTTTTGGGCATCTCCACCTGAACTCTCATGGTTTGCTCCTCGTCCATGCCAGATGTAAACATTGCATCAAACACTGGGGATGCCATCCGGAGCAATGTAGAGCTGGCAGAAGATGTCTTGCCATCGTTGAAGTCAAGATTGACGTCATCCAATGATGACAGTTTACGCTTCTTCTCAGCCATGGCAAGTTGGCTTGGCAACGTGAACAACCAGCGTCAATTGTCAGAAATGGTTGTAAACAAAACCTGCCCTGTGGGTTCTCCGATCTTTTAAGGTTGATTCTGTTTCTGGGGCCAATCAAACTTAAAGCCAACTTGGCCACGTGGTTTTCATATGACCACAAACCAATCTGTGCACGGTCGGGATATGTCGGGATACTGTATCATGGTCCTCTTTACCCCGGCAGCTGCAAAGAACTATCCCCATCTGCAGTCAGTGACCTGTAATTGTGCATATATAAGTTCTCCTGAGTTCCCTATGAAGCTGGTCCCAGCAATTCACAAGGCCAACTGCGCCCCCAACTGCGCCCCCTTCAAGGCCTCTTCCGGGGTTTCGGGACGCTCCCGTGGATCACCTGAGTTGCGGAGATGGTAATGGCAGTTGTTGTACTTGTAGTGATTGGTCAACCCCAGTGACCGCTTGAAGTGCATGCAAGTCCGCCGACCCCACTCGTGGGGTCAGGCGTGACTGTTGATTAAGGCTAAGGCTATGATTAAGGCTAAGGCTATGATTAAGGCTATACCTCCCCTACCCCTCCGGAGCTTTGTTGGAGTGACGAAAAGTAGCCAAAAATTGTCCAAAAATTGTCCAAAATTTATCCATCCCAATTGATTTACATCTTGGGGCACCCTCTCCACCCGCGCGGGAAAATAAGCAGGGTCCCTAAATGGTCCCGGGCTCGAAGCTCGAATCCCGGCCTGGTTGCGGCCTGGTCCCTGCCAGTGCCCTTGGTTTTTCCTAGATTTTGCAACGTTTTCCGCCGGATTTCTAGGATTTTCAAAGGTTTTTGTAAGATTTACTCATTTGGGGTTCCCAAAATTTCCACGAAAAATGCTAACCCATTTGCCGTGCTCTCTTCTGCCTACTTTGGTGATGCAGTGACAGATCATGTCTCTAGGGGTTCCGTGTTGTTTTTTGGGTTCCCCGATTTTTCCAAAAAAAACTCTTAACCCATTAAACCTAGGCCATCCACTTCCCTGGGGGTCGGCGGCTGCCAGGCGCTAGCCTGGTTAAATAATAACCATTGACAACACACAGGAGCAGTTGGCACAGACTGTACTTGAAGATGCAGGATCAAAACTGTCAAACATGTCAAAGCTGTTCATTCTGAACAACAAAGTTCACCTCCTATGTCGACGACCTGTCTTCCATTGTCTGAAACCTCATCTGCATTCTTTTTGTGTGATCCCCATCGACACGTCCGCATCTCACAACCCTCAAGTGGTCAGTTGGACAAACATGGCAACCAGAGTGCTTCTCACAGACCCGCAAGTGTTGTCCCTCACACGGGAGTGTTTGCCGCATGTTTTCGCCAGTTGTTAAGAGTTGTTTCTTTCCTTTGCAGATTTTGTCAGGTAGCTACAACATCATACAAATATACAGTATATATATATATATTCGAAAAGCCTGGTGTTTGATCTCGCCGGAAAAGCCAAAAACATAGAGCAAGCTGTTTAACTTTTGGTAACCTTGAGACATGATGTGAGGGGAGCCAAGCTTTGGCGAGGTATGGTGACGGCAATCTGCAACGAGTGGGTACTTGCGCTGCTTGCGCGCACCGCTGTGGGCAAGCCTGCAACCAATGCATTGCATCAAACAATGTTGTTTCTTAATTCCTAGACACCGCCGTCGGTGATTGTGTTTTGGCACGCGCGAAGCTTGAGGAACTTGAGGTTTGTTGTTTCTCAATAGCCTCCGGGTGGTACGGGGCCAACTGGCAGGTTTTTCACTGGCAAACGGTGGCTTTGCTGGATGCCTACGTGTGACTCTGGATGTGAAAACCAACAGGCAACCTGTCGTGAAAAGAATGGTTCCCGTGCGTTTTCTCCTTCTGCGTTTGTTGAAGTCAGGGTAGCTGAAGGCTCGGTCGCTGGCTGCTGGGACTCTATTCACTCGTGGACCTGTTCTGTTGGGTGGAAATGAGCGAAGCGAAGTGCACCACGAAATCGAAGTAAGAACCAGGCCTCGGTCATTCCCACCAACACACTAACACCGCGTCACCCACAGGGGAGTAGAACTAAACATAGTGATCTGGCAGGTGGGGTGAGGTTGACCCAAACTCGTGCAGGTCAACCACTGTCCAGAAATGAACTGAAAGGAAGAACGGACCCAAAGTCATGTCAACAAATGCGTGTCTTCTCCATTTTTCGATTGTGCGTAAACTCCAAGTCTTCCCGTGGAATTCCCGCCATGGCCCTGGGTGCCCCTGAGTGGCCATGCCCATGCCCTGGTGCACTTTCAGCGCTGCAGCGGCCAGGCGGCTCATGACCTTGGAGAAGAAAGCCATCCAAACGGAGAAAGCCATCCTGTTGGACTCACGGATTGACCGGAACGGAGTCCAACAGGCGGAAACAAGTAAAACAAACAGGAGTCCCACAACGAGTGCAATGCTTGGGGATGTAGCAAAGGTCTGGATGACATTTGGTTCTTCAACCGGGATCTGCGCATAGAGTAGGCAAAATTGATCTTCTCTTTCAGGCTTGGGAGCTCGAAGGCATCACACGGCAAACAGCCAAAAAAAAGCTCTGCGTGCAAAAGCATTCAGTGTGAAGTCATTGTAGATCGCGCAAACCCATGTACATCCATATTCCATATCATATGCCAGGTCAAATGGGGATTGAAGCGGATCCATCTGCCAACAGCACCACCTTCCAGATTGATACCATCAACTCTGAAGCCTGAGCCCCAAACAACGCCAGGCAATCCAGTCAGGCCTTAAGAACCACAACCAGCACAACCAGCCGTGGAAATGTGTGGACACACCCAGCAAGACTATTCAAGGAAGAGTTGGAGGAGATCAGTATTTTCATGACGCTCCAGTAGTCAAATTAATTAATCCCATTATCGAATTGAAAATTGAAAAATCAAGCTGTCAAGTGAAACCAGAAAAGCCCTCCTTCACTGAAAAATCCACGAAACGTGCCTCGTTGGACACCGATGGTCCAAGGTGTAAACCCCCCAGCCAACCCGACGGTCCGTGGGTGGTCACCTCGGCCGCAGCCTTCGGTCAGCGGATGGTCCCGGATGCGTTGATTTCCCCGCCTTCTCGGCTGCCAAGGCCTGCGCAGGCAGAAAAGGGGCCCTCATGGGTGAGGAGTCGGTGAGGAGAAGATCTATAATTGAATTGGACAAGTTCTGGATGCTGAGAGTGCTGTGGTGTCATTTCTTGGCCTCGCATTTTCTGAGAGAACCACGTCCAAGCTGCTTGGATCCAGTCGACTTTCCAACGCAAGTGAATGAAACATGTCCGCTTGCTGGATACAAACCTGGAACTACGACAAGACGTGTTGATGATCTCCAACCAAACTCGTCGCCGACGTCCGACGCTCGGCACACCCTGCAAGGCTTCCGCCGAGAGTAGGGTGAAGCGCACCATCTGCAGCAAAGCCTCGAAGGAAGGACGGGACGGACGGGACGGGAGGCACCACCAGTGGAGATCCGAGATGTGGGGCTGTAACAGCGGAAAATCGACCGGAAGGTGTTGGTTTCATCAGTATGAACTACTCCAAGACCTTTGAGACCACTCCACACACCAAGACTTTCGTCCCACGCGATGCTACTCTGGCATCACCCACCTTGAGATGGGTCTGGACGAATTCTGTCCATTCTGATCCTGTGGCCAAGCAAAGAACGCGCAGCACCTATGACCATGTTTCCTCAAATATCTCACTCAACCCATTTCGATCACCAAATTAAAACACGAGATAAAATAAACAAACCTCAAAAAAAATCAACTTTCTTGATTTCTCCCGTGCCTTCACCACCATCCACCATCCCTGAGCCGCCCTTGCCCAGTTCCCTCCGGGTGCCCCGGGCGGCGGTGGCGTCGTCCCGGTGGGGACCACTGCGGTGCCAGTGCATCACGGCGGCCAAGACCTGGTCGACCCCCAAACAGGTGCGCGGGTCGACCCAGACTGACTCGGAGAGTCTGTCTGCAGGTGATTGGGACGAAAGACCAAACGGAGACGAAACAAAGGCTCAAGGGGAGCCGAGTGAGTTTTTTCCTCCGCCGAAAGGAAAGGAGGCCCTGGGAAGTGGAAAAGAAAGGGATCATCTAAGAGCAATAACCAACACCACCCAAAGGGTTGTTATTGGATGAAAATACATCTTCACGGGGGATCTATAAACCACCCTTTGGGTGGTGCTGCAATGAGCTACGTGGCTAACTATGTTTCGTTCCGGAGTGCAGAAAGTGTCCCGAAAGAGGACATGAGCACAGACCGAAAAAGATCGAATCGAGGTGAGTCATCTTCGTGGGACACACGATGCTTGGGGCCAGCTTGTTCCAACAAGACCTCTGATCAAAACGTTGGACATGTTCTGCATGCTGGTTGGATTCCATCGAAACTTGGAGCTTCAAAACCTCATGGCTTGCCGGCAAAAAGAAGCCAGAGCGGTCTGCCCAGCCCTTTGACCCTTCCTTTTGTATTCAAACTGTTCCAAGATCTGCAAGGCATCTCAAGTAGTGTGATTGTTCTGAGGTATCCATCAGCGGTTTTCCTCACTCCTGCCATCTCAATCTTAGGGCGGCCTCCTCCTCATGTTCCGCCACCAAATCATCGCTCCGCAAGAGACCAATCTCAGTGCCGCTGCTGCGCTTTGCTGCGGAGCAGTACCCCGTGGGACCGACCAGCACCCAGTTTCAATCAAAAGTCGTCGACGTCCATCTGGTGGCCGTCCAGGGTCACAAAGGGGGTCGCAAGGTCCAACTCAGCCCGAAGCGTCCGTCTGTCCCATTAGAAATCCGAGAGATTCAATTCAGAAAAGTGCATAGAATCGAATTACAAATGGAGAAAACAAAAACTCTTGGTTTGAAAGTCTTGCGTCTGTGCGCACAAAACTCAGAGGGAAGCGAGGAGGTCCATATCTTCAGAAACTATAATGTGTTAATGTTTAGGTCAGGTCTTCTTCTCTTTTCTCAGGCAGCGCCACCTGTGCAACCCAAAACAACCCCCACTCAAAAAGGATCAAAAAGGTATGAACCCCAAACCACATGGATCCAATGCATGACCTATACCCCACCGAGCAGTCGGGCCCTCCGGCCATGCGGTGCAGGGGCCACGAGCCAAACTGCTCGGTCTTCACCTCATGACGGCTGACGGCTGATGCGCCAGCCCGGGCTGATGCGCACGGGGGCCACGGGGGCCTGGAATGGTATCATGAGAAGCAGAGCACCTGGACACCGAACATGGAGGAGGAACCATCAAACTTGGCGATCCGAATGGATGTGATGCAGGGCGTTTTCTGTTCATTTCAACCACTTCCAGGCTTTCTGAGATATGACTGCTGCTACCTCTTCCTCAAACAGCTGAAGCTAAGTACAACAGCAATGCCAAGGTGACATGGGGGACATGTGAACCACGAACTTCGGAGAACCATCAACGAATCCCTCCTCTGACGCCTTGATGGACACCTCCCGCCCAAGAAATCCATGTGTCAACACCCGGGGCATCGAACGCAAGCGCTGAAGTTCTGCAAGACGTAACGCTCCTGAGTTCACAAGGTCAACAGAAATGAAAGTGATTCAAACCACATCGGCGGTGGGTTTGGCGATCGAATTTTCTCCTCCATACCGCGGTTTGGTAAGTGTCCAAGGTGCCCACAACACCCTGGCACAAAGCCCAAACACAAACGCCTCCCCGCTCGATCGTACTCTATCAAACGAAGCCCAAGACTGTGTACTTTCCTCCTAAAACCTCAGCAGACACCTGGATTCTATCCCGCTTTACAGCAAAGGTCAGACTCGCTCGCGTGCAGGGTCTGCGGGGGGCCTGCTTTGGGGGCAATGTAGTGATTGGTCTTCCAGGAGTCTTCCAAAGATCTGAGGCGCCACACCAGCATTTCATCCAACTGGTCCACCAAAAGGACCTCCAAACAGTCCAAGCAGCGCGCGGCTGGGCTCAGTACTGCAAGCTCTGGCAGCTGGCGAGTACCAAACTGAGGGTGGCTGCTGGGTGTTCCATGCTAAGCACAAGACGGAGTCTCATGTTCTTTCATATCCCATGTTGCTTGGAATCTGGGACGACGAACTATGTCCAGGCATTCTTCCTGGCGAGACCATAGTATACTTGGTCAACTACAGTCGTTGGTTCTTGAAGTTCTTTTCGACCACCCACTATGGGGGAATCCCCAACCACTCGGTTGGAGAGATCGCCTCATGGTGCGGTGGGATCGACATTTTTACAGTAACTCCAGTTGCCACCCAGCCTCGCAGTCCACGATCAGGGAAGAACAAAGCTCTGGCGTCATGTGCCTCAGGTTGCAACTCCACCCTCCCCAGTTGTTTCACCCTTTCTGGTGGACTGACCAGCAAACCCCCCAAAAAAAACCGCTGTCACCCAGGCGATCCCAAAACCAAACCCTCCCGCCCAGGGGCAAAGCCGCTGTCGCCGGTGAAACCACCGAACGACAGCTTCCGGGTGGGGGGCTGCAGACGACCCGGAGCGACCCGGGAGCGACCTGGAGCGTCTTCCGAATGGTGGCCTTGACTTGACCATGAGATGTCTCCAACCCCCCGAAGTTCCAACAAGTTCCAACGAGTTCGATGGGGCTGGCCGGCTTGCCACGCCCCGACGAGCTGGTATTGAGAAGACCCCCAATGCCTGAAGTGCCCTGATTTCGTGTAAACGAAGTGGCTCTCCGTCAACGGAACCTGCCCAAAAGCTCCAATCTTCCCTGCAGGTCGAAAGCACTTCACCAGCAGCTCGTTGAGTGCGGATTGGAGGGGCTGCACCTCGCAGGCATTCATAAGGCTCATGTTCTACTCATCATCAAATAGTGGTATAGCTCAGATTGCTGTGACAGCACTGTGCGTGTTAGGAACAGCGCTTTGGGGGTTCCATACTTTGTTCAGATCGGCCGAACTGAGGCGGCACCAGCCCTGTGACCGACCCAATCGCACACCGGACCAAGCGCCTCCCATTGATGGACCAAGCGCAGCAATTCCGGCAGAATCGCCTGAGGGGGGATGTGGTGAAGCAGCAGAATCGCCTGGGAAAAACAGTGACTTTCCCCAGCTGGAGGTCACGTGGAGTCAAACCCCCGGCTCGGGAAAAACGTCTAAAAAAGAGCACATCACATGACCTTCGTCGACTTTCTGGAAGTTAGCCCAACCAGCCTTCTTGACTGAGAAGGTCCCCTTGTAGAGGAACTCCAAGAAGGCGCTCAATGCCTGGCACCACTGCAAGAAGCTTCTTTTGTCGACTTCTAACTTCTAACAGTCTAGAAGTGGAAGAATAGCTTCCGAGTGACCAGTGCACTGGCCCAGTTCCTGACATAGCAACCATCTGGTAGAGTCGAAAGTCCTTTTTGTTCTGCCTACAAGATTCAAGTCAAGGGAGGTCCTCTGTATCGTGAACTGTCCGAGGATCACTCCAGATGCTGTTCCACGAACTTTCCAGCCACCTTCCTAAGTGGTCCTGTTTCTCAAATTCCAGATCACAGGCAGATACATTGAGATATTGAGTTCAAGAAATCCTTTCAAAGCCTTTTTTCTTGAACTCCCTGCCCCGGTTGTATCCATTGGCCCAACCCTTCAACCATGCAATTGAACCTTCAGCCTTGAGCACTTTTCAGAAATGAGTCTGCACCAACCACCTCAAGAAGAAATGACTGGCTCAACAAGCTTTTGCCCCAACAACAGAAAGTCCAACCTATAACCCTTCTTCATAACCTTGGGCTGTCCAACCTAACCTGAGAAATCCCAGTATTAAAGTTGTTCTTGCAGCTGCCTAATGCCGAATGCCTTGTGTCACTTAAGCCACCGGTCATGGGTCACTCTGCCCATTTGGCACATCGCTGCCTCCCCTGAAGACTCGAAGGGCACCTCCGACTGCTGCCTGGTGGCTCAACGTCGTCGTCGGGACGACTCCGTTGGCTCGTCCGCTGAAAGATGGCATTCTCTCAAACTCATCAAAGTCTACTTCTCTCAAACTCTGGATGCTGGGACATGACTTTCTTCAACTCAGTCTCTGTGACACTGCTGAGCAATACGCTGAATACTAGGGAGCTGCAGAATCACATGTTCGAGCATTGGATGAGTGATGCCTTTTGTTCAGAACAAAGGGAAGAACGACCTTTCGGCACTCTGACGTGCCTCGTTTCCACGACATCTCGCCCCGCCCCCAAGTGGCCCCCCAGCTGTGGCCCGCACCCCTCTGCGAAGCTACCACTGAGCATGGCAAAGAGAGGATCACTCGCCATGGAAAGCACCAATCGATGAGCCTCGCCAGAGGCTCAGACTCGAAACAGACGAAAGAGTCGGTCCTCGATTGCGCAGGGCTTTGCATTGGCCCATCCGAGGGTTTGCGACCGACGCGTACATAGCTGCTCTAGTGACTGATGCGTGGCTGTTGAGTAAATGACTTGCAGCAAAAGGGAAGACTCCATGAAAAAACACAACGTACAATCAGTAAATGTCAAAACAAATGTCCATGTCTTTTCAAGTACATCAAATCAAAAAAAATCCATGTCCCAAACACCATCCAGGCAGTCGGGTGTTCCGACACGATCAGCGTACCGGAGCCTTAAAGACCTGCCCATCGGTACTTCTCAGCGAGACGTCGCAGAAGTGCTGGCGGGTACAAGTGGAGCAGAGAGAGGTGCCACAAAGGAGAGCTGGCGCAGAAGGTTGTGGAGTTCAGAAGCTTGAGGAAGGTTGTGGAAGGTTGATGCCGTTCAGCTGCTTTCATGAGGAATTCTGTTTGGGATGTGGTTTGCATGTTGTTTAGATAATCTGAACTTTTGTGCTCCATCAAGCGGCTTACGTGCAGGGCAAGCATACGCCCAGTTCCTGACCACTTGCTATAGTAATGTGATAAGAACCCCTGAAGCGAAAGGGAAATTACCTTTAACTTTACACGGCCACACGTGAAATAGCTTTCATCCAAAAAAGGAAAACGGCCACCCTTCACACAGTTTCCAGACCACCAATTGGCTTTGTTCAAACACCTCCCGTCCACGACCGTGTGAACCCGGTGGACGACCGGTGTCTTCTTCGGTCCCTGATCGGTGACCCGCGACGAACGCGACGAACGCGTGTCCCCTGTCCTCTGAGTGGTGTGGAAGGCGATCCCAAAGTTGCAACCTGAGGCGACCAAGTAATGGGACACGAGCCGTGTAAACGGCCGACCAGTGGGCAGCATGTCAACCCAAAGTCGTTTCTACAGAAAGCTCTTGGGTCAGATCACTCTTTTCCCTACTTAGTCTTACTTGTTGACTCCCTGGCAAGAACAAAAAATACGTTTCTGGTCGCCGCAGTGGTCCCTGGTTGCCCCGAGGCTGGACACGTGGCGTCACGATGGGCTTCCCGACTTCGCATTCTCCGAGACCTGTCATTTTCGGAGCAGCTCCCTTGGGGTGGGGGATGATGGCGAAAGAGACTGAGTACTTTCTTGTGCCGAAGAAGCGGAGGGCCACAAAGAACGACCCAAAGTAGAAAAGTCAATCCTGCGAGTCTGTTCTGCTTTAATTGGTTCATGATTTCTCATGAACTCGACGAACGAACTGAAAAGCTGAACCCCGAAGCTCGCACCTCCAACGCCACGGTCACGACATCTGTCTCTGGTTCCTGGGCACGGTGACTTGGGAGGAGTGACACTTGATGTCGGAACCTTCCCACCAAACACCTGGTCTGCAAGTGAAACCAAAACAAGCAACCCCTTTGTGAATTCCAATTTGCACCACCCGGGTCCTTTCAACCAAGCCCAATATCACGTTCCAGCGAAAGTCCAAAGATTCTGCCCATTGTCAACGAATCAACAACATCCCTCTGTATATCTATATATATATATCCATCAACACATCATTCTTTACTCCTCACTAGACACAGGGGATGAAGCTGCAAGAAGCCCCCCAAACAGGTCCGTTCAACTACATCTATCTTCGACCTTCAAACCACGTCTGATCTGAGGCAATCTGAGAGAAACTCTGATCATCCATCATCCACCCATGTTCCGATGTTCGGCGGTGCTTTAGGACCAAGTGCCGTCGAGGTGCAGCCATTGGCCATGTTGCACAACGGATGAACACGCACACTGGCTCTGTTTCTGAAGCTAGGGTTGTTCAAGTATCATTGGCACGTGCATTGGCCAAACACCTCAAGTTCTGTTTCAATAATGACAGTTTTTTCCGGGGGAATTTGGAACTGTTCTTTTGAGAACGTCTACTTTCTTCATGACTAGGAAAACAAAAGTTTTCAAGTTGTGCATTCCAATTTGCTTTGACTTGAACACTTCAGCAGGAGTAACGTTAATCCTGGCCACAAAAAAATGTAACATTATAGACTTAGATCAATGCTGCGATGTTTTCAGGTTTTCTTCACATTACTGGTCCATCGCCGGTTTTATTAGTGATGTGTCCTGCCTTTACATTTGGTGTTTTGCGTTTGGTCAACCTGTTCAAACCGTCAATACAACCCACTACGAAATAAATCCCGACATTCTTCAGGACATCCACAATGTTGGTGGAAATGCATGCAAACATACTTTTCTCCAGCCTCTTGGGAACTGCACCTGAACAACAAATGTTTGAAAACACCAGGGCCACGTGGACAAGCAGGACAAACGTGGCCACTGCAAGCAGGAGGAAGACAGACCCGCCCGCCGCCAGCGTGGACAAACAGAACAAAACGAGGACATTTGTAAAACAGTTCTTGTCTGTCAACTTTCAGTGACAGCAAACAAAAACAATGGCAACTTCAAAGACTGAGAGTGACCAAGCTCACCAGTGGGCGCTGGTCCTCCAAGACCACTCTGGTTGAGAAACCACAATAAGGAGGAACCCAAAACACAAAGAGGCCCACTCCAAGGGCAAATCAAAATTAAACACCACCTTTAGAGTTTCTGGGTGTCACGAAGCCCAAAGGGGCTCAGAACTGTCAAAAATTTGTTTTGGACTGCCTGACGAAAGGACTGCAAAGGACATGCAGTTTGCAAGCTTTGCTGTGTCAACTTGACCACACTTAAGATCAGGGGCAGGTGCTGGGCATGGGCGTTGCAATTAAAGGCAAGTGCACATGGTCAGACGTTCACATTCAAGTCAGAAACTTTCGAAAAAAAGGAAAGGAACAGAATTTCCTTAGCTCTTGACTCTGGTCATGACCAGACACCACTCTCAGAATCCTGTCTCGGATCTTCTGCAGGACATTCTCTCCGATGAGAAGATCGTGGGCCTTGATGCTTTGTCGGGCAATGAAGGAGCCGGTGTTGGCTTTATGTCAGCAGGCAGGAGTAAAGGCCGGGCTTCAAGCGCCAGACCAATGTGGACACCCGACGCCAAAACAGCGAGGCGTCGTCTGGCAACTCACAACTTGTCGTGTTCCTGTCATGCACCACATGCCCAGGTGGGTGAAACAGTGACTGGCCAAGGCTTTGGGTTCGCCAGTTCAGGCGGTGACTAAGGCCATTGCCCGTACCTAGCAGACCCCAGAAGGTGATCGAGGAAGAGTGGTGACTGAGGCCATCGCCGACCAGACCAGCTGCGAAACTGGAGTGTTTTAGGCAGCACGATGTCATTGTGGCGGTGGCGCACCTCCTGCGTGCGAAGAGGAACTGGCGTCTCCCTCATTGTGCGAAGTGTCATGCCAGCTCCATGATCCTCCATCAGTGCGCTCTCCTCGATTGCTCCAAGTCGGGTAGGACCTCTAGCACACCTGTTGTGCGAGAAGAGGAGCTCCTTCATTGTGTTGAAGCGTCGTACCAGTTCCATGATCCTCATTCAAGAAATCTTTATCTCTGCAACAACTGACCTTCGCATTCTTGCGATAACGGCAGCCCCACGCGTGCAAAAAAACAAACTTATACAAGCATAGACCCCAAACAGCTTCAAAACGATTCGTTTAGACCAATATCAGTCAAAAATCGATTTCTTGGTACGCCCTACTTTCACCCCAAGAGCAAACTGCTTCATCAATGAATTTTTGTCGGCATTGACATCGCTATTTGTTCGGCCACACTCCTCTCCAGTAAGCCGGGCCACAGAGACCAGCCACAGAGTTCAGGGGCGCGGCCAAAACAAGGACAAGAGGAGGACAAGACCCGGACACAGAGCCGGGCCACAGAGCCCAGCCACAGAGTTCAGGGGCGCGGCCAAAACAAGGACAAGAGGAGGACAAGAAAAGGACAAGGCCCAGCCACAGAGCCCAGCACAGAGGACAAGAGGAGGACAAGAGCCCAGTAAGCCGTCCATAGCACACGAGCACGCGTGCGCTCGCATTGCTCTCTCTCTCTCTCTCTGTGTTTCTTTCTCTGTCTTTCTCTCTGCACAGCGCGCTCTGACCGTGCCTTTCTGGAGCGTGAGCGCGCCCGTCCATAGCACACAAGCGCGCGCTCGCCCTGCTTTCTTTCTTTATTTCTTTCTTCCTTCCTTCCTTTCTTCCTTCCTTGCTTGCTTGCTTTCTTTCGTTCTTTCGTTCTTTCTTTCTTTCTGTCTGTCTGTCTGTCTGTCTGTCTTTCTCCCTCTCTCTCTCTCTCTCTCTCTGTGAGCGCGCCTTTCTGGAGCGTATTTCAGAGCGCGCGCGCGCGCTGTCCATAGCACACGAGCGCGCGCGGGCGCGGGCGCTCGCTGCGCTGTCTTTCTCTCTCTCTCTCTCTTTCTCTGTAAGTTTCTCTTTCTTTGTCTTTCTTTGCGCAGAGCGCGCCCTGAGCGCGCCTTTCCGGAGCGTATTTCAGAGCGCGCGCAACACGCCGTCCATAGCACACGAGCTCTCTTTCCTTTCTCTCTCTTTCTCTCTTTCTCTCTCTCTCTCTCTCTCTCTCTCCCTGTCTGTCTGTCTCTCTGTCTCTCTGTCTCTCTGTCACAGTCTCTCTCTGTCACTGTCTCTCTCTGTCACTGTCTCTGTCGCTGTCTCTGTCTCTGTCTGTCTCTGTCTCTGTCTGCGAGCCACAGAGCCCACAGAGCCCACGCAGCCCCGCAGAGTTGACAGAGGCCAAGAGAAGGACAACAGGAGGGCAAGACCTGGACACAGAGCCCGGCGCGCCAAGAGGACAAGAGGAGGACAAAAGAAGGACACGGTTTCCCTTTTTTTGGCCTCTTGAATTCGCGGAGTTTCATACCTGCAAAAGATGACCTGTGCACACCGCACACATGGCGTCTCCACGCGCGCAAAAAAGAATGTTCAAGGGGTTCGATAGTTGGCTAATAAAGGTCGCGTGTACCTGCCAACGACCATTGCCTCCAGGAAGCGCCCCGTATTGCGATCGGCCCCCCTCTAACGCCCATGGCCACTGGAAGTCTCTCCCAAGTCAGCACCCCGGCCGCCTCTGAAGCAGGTGCAACCATACAGCTAGGGCCCATCTGCCACTCGAGGTCCCGGAATATGATCGGCTCGATGAGTTTGAAGATGCAGTTGTAGAGTGCCTACCCACTACTAGCCAAATTGCCACATTTGGGCGTGAACTCGATTTCGTCCATCCGAGCACCCACCAAATCCTGAAAGACCCTATATGGGACACTCAAAAGGACTGCACACGTTTCAATCTAGTGGTCAGAAACTGCTTCGTCTGGGCTGAGCATAAAAGTCAGCTCCAAAGAGGTTGCCCTCGAGCCATCTACATCCCAGCGGATGACACGGGATTTGTTTTGGACAATGCCTTTTACTCAGTCGCACGATTAAGACATGTGCTCGTTACGTTGACGCTGGCATCCGCACCGTCGGAGCGGCGGCGTGGCAAAGTTGTCAGCAGCTCCAAATCGTCAAACTGCCTCCCTCCGTGGTCTGCATCAAAGAAGGTGCCTTCCAAGGATGTTATGCACTCACACAAGTCGTAGCCCCTGGGTGTGTGCAATTTGGACGTCGGGTTTTTGCGGAGTGCTGTTCGCTTTGCTACATTGTACATAGGGGTAAATGAAGGAGTAACCAATGAACTTGCCCCAGGAGCCCAGATCTCTCCCTACGCCTTTGAAAGCTGCTTGGCCTTGTCGCAAGTCCACTTTGTCAGCAACACAAGTGACATATCAGCCTCGTCCTTCACCCGCGGAATATACCTGAAGGAAGCCTCTGTGGGTCGGGCATCGAGCATCTGAAACTCCCGTCAGACATCAATTTCCTAGGACCGATAGCCTGTGAAAACTGCAAACAGCTCGTTTTCGTTGATCTGTCCAATACTGAGATCAGTGCCATATGGGGATCTACCTTCTCACACTGTGTGAACCTTGCGCACTTTTGGTTTCCACCCAAGTTGAGGCGCATTGGTAAAGAAGCTTTCATGTTCTTCAATTCCCTTCGAGAAAGTGCATTCTTGTGAAAACACGGAAGCAGTAGCGTCCCCTTTTTGAATCCCGCTCTTGAGCCAAACGTTACAGTCGGTTTGACTGTATCTCTGTTCATCCACTCTTCTTCTGAAGAGGTCTGACTGGTCACAGTCGTCCAAAACATACTCAAAGTACAAGAAAGCATCTCAAGCAAACCTACGCTATACACAGCGCTACAGCTCTCTACATAGGGCTTCTCTAGACATGCTCCTAGCCGCCACTTCTGGTCACATTCCACTTAGTCACAGTCCTGCTAAGGAAGTCAAAGAGAACACACTCCAAGGAGGAAGATCCCAACACAGCTCCAACCCAAGGACAGAAAAACGAAAAGTTCCACTACAAAGAGGTACTAGGTGATCCACACACTGTACAGGCGCGCTACCCACACTTTTCACACCCCTTCTTGGGTCACCTCGTACCTTCTCCTGGTCTTCCTGTCTTATTCTTCTCTTCAATTCGTTTCCTCTGAGCAACTAAGGTTCGAGCATCAACTAAGATCTCAACTCCTGTCTTCCAGAATGGTCTCCAGGTCGATCAAACGTCCACAAAATCAAGTCAGCAAGTATCAAACAAACCTCAACTCAATCGAACAAGGTTCAACCAAGCAAGACAACAAACAAAACTGGTCAAGATCCCTCAGAAGACATGGCCTTAGGAGTCTCACAGTGATGACTCCTGGCTCATGCCATTTTCATCATTGGGATCTTGAAAGCCAGTTGCTTTCTGAACACCTGACATGTCAAAACGACAAACGCTCATCGTGACAAAACCTGCCAAGTCCAATAATGCACAAAGCTCCAAACAGC